ACCTACTGAGACTGAAGACAGAATTTTCAACTCAGGGACAACCGTTGGATGGACACACAAGGGACTTCACCAAAGCAACCCCTAGATTGCAAGGGGAAGTGCAAGAGCCAGCTGCAGGTCTGCAGGCTCTGACGAGAAGACCCCTAGAACCTTGGTCAGATGCACTTTGTGTCCCGCCAGACTATCACTCACAACGAAAATGGCTGAATCCATGGTCTACTGAAGTTGCAGCTGCTGCAGGCATTAAAAGCCGCTGGGAGCCAGGACAGGCCAGGCTCTTATGGACTGGGAGAACACATACACAGTGCCTCTCGTGTCTGGACGCTGCAAGCAGCCATGGTCCCCTAAATTCCAGTTCTGAGGGAGCCCAGGCAGGGTGGCTAGGGTCAGCTGGCAATGCAGGACATACAGTTAAATGGAATATTGGGGATACCCTTCCATTAGGACCGCATCTGTTCCCCACTCAGGGAAAACTGGGCCTCCCAAGATTTCTCAGACATTCCCACTAACAGCTCAGGAATGAGGCCTATACAACAGGAGCTGAGGACTCAGTCTCCAAAACTGTAGAGAAACAAACCACCATGAGCAAGAAACCAGGCACATCAGATGCAGAAGTGCAGTCAACTATGTTTACAAAATTAAAGAGAAGTGGTAAACAATAAAGTGAGGCACAGCATCCTAACAACAAGACTCAGAAAGCACTGGCCTAAGGAAAAAGAAATTCATACCCAGACCAGTCTTTGCAAAAGCAAACCCCAAGGACAAAAAACCTAGAGAGATCTAAAAGAGAAAAGGAGACTGTAAGGCTGGATTAAAACAATCAAGGGTCAGGGCACTTTCCTTTTCCCAGAAATTCGTGCTGGCCCTATAACTCCTAGCCACAAAGCATGAGCAGGTGCACAGGCTGTGCAGGAGGAACAGATGCAGTGCAGCAGGAGGAAGGCCGGCCCCGTGTGTCCTGGTACACGCACTAGCACAGGGCACGTCTGCTGGAATCCCTCTGGAGCTACACACTACGTTTCTGGAATTTTATTACCCTTCTCATGTTAACTAGCACTATGTGCACTCTGCAAGCTGCTGGTGGAGCCTGACTAAGACACTCGCATTTTCAAGTTAAAAACAAAATCCCACAAACAAAACCTCCTAGCAGAGAGTAACTACACCCAGGATGCTGGGGTTCTAGGGCCCCTGACCTGAACAGCACCCGCCCTCTATGCAAGTGCCAGCCCCTCCTCTCCTGAGACCCTCCCACTGCCGCTGGCTCCTGGGACTTGGCTTCCTGCCCTGCCAAGCCCGCTGGCATGGCTGGTCACCTGGTCAAGCAGGAGGCCCCTGGCCGGTCATATGCATGTGAATAAAGTTTTGTTCAGACTCAGCTTTCTCTCTGAGAAGATGCTTATTTTGATTTTCCTCATTCATCTTTTTTTAACATACATAAAACAAAACCTAAACCCTTTTCTAAAAAGCTCTATTCTTTTTAGATCTTTATTTAAATTTCTTCTTGTGACATGTAATTCTCCAAAACAGTATTTAATTTGTTTAGTAGTTCAAATTTCACAGTGATTCCCACTAAACCTCAGAATCCAAACTCTGACCCAACCAAAAGCAACTTAACAGCCTGTCCTCCCCGGGTGGCCTTGAGGTGAGGGCTCTGGGGATGATGCTGCACCCTGCAGGCACGCTCTGCCGGGCCCCTGCTCCCTGCCTGCCCAGCCTGCCCAGCACCCTGGGTGGCATCGAGGTGAGGGCTCTGGGGACAATGCTGCACCCTGCAGGCATGCTCCGCCAGGCCCCTGCTCTCTGCACCTTCTCCCACCTGCCCAGCGCCTCTGCTCCAGGCCAAATGACCCTGTGAGGGCTTCAGGATCTGAGGAATGATGGACTCTTAGGAACTACCTTTTCTGACACCTGCCTTCATACTACGTCATTAGCACTGGATTTTAAGTTGTTTCTAAGAGAATCAAAGAAGTTGGAGAAATAGATTTTACAGTTAGGATTTTAGTTTGTAATGTGTCTCGTGTTTAATGTGTTTTACAGCACTGGGCATCGTGTTACCTCAACACTGGCCTGAACCATGGGTAGCACCACCCGCCTGTTCAATGACCACAAGCAAAGAAGCCCACCCTTTCTGATGGTGCCACTGGGTCAAGGGTGGGACAAGGAGAGCCACCTACTGCTCACGGGGATAGGTGGGTCCTCTGTAGAGCGGGCTGGAGATACAGATGGAGGCCTATGAGCAGGGCACATGGCATTCCTTGTCTACCAAGGGCCATCGAGAGGCCAGGCATGTGGCACTGCACCAGGTGCAGCATCAGCCCGAGAAGGTGGGCTCCTGCCCACAGCAGCCCAGCTAGCTCTGAGCTCAGCTGCCGGGCGGGCCTACTGCACAAAGCCACAAACCTGCAGCCAGCTGTGTGCAGATCCACAACAGGGCTCCATTCGCCCATCCCACACAAGACCACTTCCAGAGGACACTGGGTAACAATCATTGCTGGCACTTTTATGGGATGCTATTGCTTTCCTTGAGGCTCAGAGTTGGGGTGTATGAGAATTGTCTGCTAGCCTCAGTTTTTCCATAAATGTAAAACTGTTCTAAAAATTGAAGTTCCCTTCCAAAAATGCTGAGAAATTTGAAAAATTAGATTTTCCAATCATCTACTGATTAAAACTTTAACATTTCTAAACATTTACTCATACTTAAAACCACAAGCTTAACACCATCATTCTCTTTAATGCAAACAAAGCCACACACAGTAACAATGCAGAAGTGCTAGATGTTCCCCATGAAGCTGTGGCAATGGCTAGGACACCAGCTCCCGAGGTGTGGCTGCACAGCCCACTCTGCCCTCCGGGGCAGCCAGTGCTCAGGCAGCACACACCAGGCCCTGCCCAAAGCAGGGAACACCGCAGCTCAGGCAAGCGCTGGGTGCAGGGGCCCCTCCCAAGTGCTCTGGGCCTCTGTGCTCAGCAGCAGACAGCAAGGTGCTGAGCAGAGCTTCAGGCACAGAAGTACTGAGGGGCAAGAACACGGTGCAAAGCCACCATGACAACGGTCTCCTGGGAAGGACAAGCAGGACCTCACCAGACCTCACAACCCTTGGGACCAGCACTGATCCTTGAGTGGACTCAGGTGCAGTCTCAACCTCAGCACCTGCTCGCACCTGCGCAACACATCAGCAGGCCTAAGGCACACTGGCCAAAGCCTCGAGGTACCTTCATATTCTTAAACTAATGGCTGTCACATGAGAACACCACAATGGAAGAATGAAAAACTGACAACCAAGCATATCATGATTCAATAAGCAAAACCAGAAGGGGTAGGAGAAGCAGACAGCGAAGACGAGCATGAAAAATACCCAGGAGCTCAGACGATGGAAGGAACCTGGTGAGCAGGTCCAACAGGAATGACCGAGGCCCGAGTGAGAGAGCAAAAGAGACCGGCAGAGCAATACAACAGTGGAGATCATCGAGAGGAGTGTGGCAAGTGTGCATACACCAAGTATGTGTGCATTTGCACACTCAAGTGCACAGACATCCTAGTGCAGGAGCGGTGAACCTCCAGCACATGTGGTAGTGTGTTTTAAGACCAAAGATGTCAATGTAGAGTTTTTTCTGAACTAAAGCCTCAGTACACAGCTTTAATTGCAGTGTTGGCACTTGGACGTAAGTGAAATGAGCTGCAGTTCGGGCACTTGGTCTCCACAAGGTTTGCTGCCACTGCACTAGACGGTACTCAAAAAACCCCTTTAAAGAGAAAATGAACGCTGCCAGAGAAATAAGAAGTATCATCTTCAAAAGAAGATAGCAATCTATTGATCAGAAACCCAAAAACCAGAAGCACAAAATACTGAAATTTAGGAGTGCTGCAAGAAAAAAATAGCAATTTAGAATTCTAAACCCAATGCAAAAAGCCCTTCTGCAGGGCTAGTAAGACTGACACCTCCCTGGGGGTGAGGGGCCTCTGAGGCAGGCCAATGGTGGCAGAGAACAGGAAACAGGCCATGCTCACGGGTATTAATCCAGTAAAGAAATACCCGAGGCAGGTGCTGGGTCACCCATACTTCAAGATGCGCAGAAACTGCCCTTGCGTGAAGCCCGCAGTGTGACAGGATCCGCAGAGGCAGGTGCACTTCGAGGTGTCGGCACAGAAAGAGCAGAAATATGAATACTTACATACACAGAGCCATAGCCACCTGCAGTCCACATTGATGCGAACACACAAATGAGTAAGTGAAGGGAGGAAAAGAACTCATGATGGAGAAGGGCCGGGAGAGCTAGAAGAATTACCATCTGGGGAATATTAGCAATAAGGGATGTAATTAAGAAGCCAACAGACACTGAAACTGTTAGGTGAAAATGTGATGTGGGCTCAAGGTACTTTCCCCAAAATGTTTAGTGATTACAAACAGTGAGAAAGTGACTTTATTACAAAGACACAGTGTTAATCAAGTGACCAAAAGTAACACAAGCAGTGCTGGGAGATGGGAGGCATACGCTACCTGGTAAGATGCAGCCAGTGTTACACACACGCATGTGCGCGCACACATCCCACGAGAAACAGACAACAGAACCAAACTGAGACACTCAGCAAAGCACTGCCCTGCTGCCTTCCAAGGCGTCAAGGTCTGTAGTCTAGGCCAGCCCCAGGACTAACTTGGATGCCAAGAGACTGAAGAGTCAAGCATTAAGTGCAGTCTATTACTTGGGTCTAGAATCCTCACAGGGTCACAGATTGACCCCTGCCACAGGGCCTGGGGCTAGGTGGCCCTAGTGTGTGCAAATGTTCATTTACTGACTGCGACAGCTAGAGAGCGGGATGTGCAGGAAAATGTCTCTGGAAGAACAACACATGCAAGCAGAGGGTCTCACACATTAGTGGGCCTCACACTGACTGATGGCAGACTCATCAAAGCAAGGTCCTGGGCCCCAGCCCTGAGGGTCTGATCCAGCAGAGGCCTAGGTCCCCTCCCCCAAGACGACCCTGAACATTGCATTCTTACCTCTCTGAATTTGTGGAAGACCCGGTCAGTTTGGTGAGCTCCAACTGTAATTTCTGGGAGATACACAGGGATAGTAGTGAAATTCAGCACTTCCAACTTATCTTGAACCCTAAAAGACAAGACATGTGGGTCATATGAAACCATCAAAGTAAATACAATAAAAAGTGCCAAGTCTGATTTTTTTTTTTTTTTTTAAAGAGCCACATAAAAAATTCACAAGACAGGGCCGGGGACATGGCTCAGTAGAACAAGAGCTTGCCTGGCAAGTGCAAGGGCCTGAGTTCAATCCCTGGTTCTGAGAAAATAAATAAATAAATAAAATAAAAAATTTATAAGACAAATGCTCCTCATTCCCAAGTACCCATCTCAGCAGTACCAGCTGAGCACAAGGCTCCAGGGCCTGTACAAGATGCTCTGCCATGCCACAGGAGGATGAGTCCAGCCCCCACGGGTGTCCTCAGACGAAAGCATTCTGGGAACAAGGGCACCCCAGAAACATGCAGGGGCCAAAGTGTACCTTACATGCAGAGACAGGAAGAAAAGGTCATTTACAACCAGATATGTCACAGCGCAGTGCACACAGGGAACCCGTGCCCCTCCCCCACGCTGCTGCCATGGGCTGGGAAGCTGCAGCACTCTGAACTGGGCCCAGCCGACGGCCAACAACACCACCTGCGCGAGGTCTGAGGCTGCACATTCTTGGCACTGATAAATGTAAACCAGAGGCATTCTCCCTGCTTTACTACTTCATTTTGATGAGTGTTAAAATATTTATATTTGATGAATGCTAAAATGTCATAATTTGTTCACTTCTTCAATTTAATCTGAATACAACCATTACGCTTGAAGACGAAAACATTTTTTAAGCTTTTAGAAAGCAGCATTAACAAAAGCATCCTTCTGGGGGGCTCACAACAAAGAATATAATTGTTTTCAATGGCCATTTCCCACCAGGGGTTAGAAACGTAGTGGGCATTTCCTGATTGTGAGGGCTCCAGGGGAGGCTGTCATGTGCCTGGCTCCATCAGGCCTTAAGAGAAAAGAGCTTAGGCACTGTGTGAGCTCCAAGCTGGCCCCTAGGGCCAGAGACAGGCTGGAGAACACAGCCCAAGCTGCAGCATGCTGCCAGAGCCTCAGAGAGCAGAGGACTACGGCAGGAGGAGTGCTCCTGGGTGTCAGTCCCACATGATCAGCATTGCTGCACCCGCCTGCGAGTTCCGAGGTGTATTTACGTGGGGTCTCACCTGGACAAGCAAACAGCGTAACTTACACATTCAAGGATAGAACTGTCTTCCTAGTCTTGCTGTCAAGTTAGTTTTACCTGCCAAAAAATGCTCAAGTATATCGAAAAGTTCAAACAAGCCAATCCTAAAGATGGTAAAGCTCATACAGTGGCCACATTTCCTGGTTGTTACAAACGCAGTGTGGGTATCTGGTAAAATTCCACACATCACCATGGTGAAGTCTTTGCCACTGCTCTTCCAGCTCCGTGAGGCTTCTGCGGAAGTGCTACAGCATTCCTACATGGTGTTCACAACATATTCCAGGCACGTTTCAGGTGTGTATGCACAGCTTCTTCATTGTGTACACAAACAATTATTTTATACTGTATCACACAACTTTTGAAGTGATCTCATAATTCAAAAGTTCAACTAAAAATGAAGCTCATGGCTTACTAAGTATCAACGTGGCTGGGGATGACTTGATTTTTCTCTAGAGTTGAAAAGCCTTAGAAGATGCTAGAAAATGTGAAAGGACTTACTGGCTTGGATGCGGAATATACAGAGCAACAGTGCCATCTAGGAGAGCTCAGCAGAATTACCACTGATAACCCAGAACTATCTTTGAACACATGGACTTCACAGACTGAAAAAGAAAAGGCGCTGCCACGACTGGCCAGCGTGCTGCAACTTGTCTCCATGCATTCCTGGTGTCTGGGGAGAAGAGGAAGAGGAAGAGAGCTTTGGCACAGCCCCGGGAAACCCACAGGTCTGGTCTCTAATAGCCTAGGTACATTCTAGATTGGAGATAAATGAGGAACAAAGACAGCTGGAAGCTACTTATGACTCACAAAGCAAAGAGCAGTGCAAAGCAACATGTTCACTGCACCCTTCCACTAATTAGGAAGAATGCAAACACAGACTGAGAGTGGCCTCACTGGAAGCTGAGGATGGAGGTAAGAGGCACTGAGGCCTGGTGCGCAGTGAGGGACACACAGCACACTTTGAACCAGGGAGGCACAGGGACTCAGGAATAGCAAGTGAGGTGAGGGACTCCAGTTTCCCAGCCAACAGAAAGCCTAACTTCCACAGCCAGCTGTCTGTCTTCCTCCTGAACTGCAAGCTCTGTGGGGACACTAGCCATCGCCTGTGGGCACACGATGCTGGGAGCCCACACTCTGAGTGGCTGCAGACAGCATGGGTGGGAAGGGACGAGAGGGGCTGGGAGCTGCCCTGTGCATCTGGGCGCCAGGCTGGCAATCTACGACCCTTAGCTCAAACCCTGTGCCAGGTGGCGCCAGTCACGGGCCGTGAATACGAGCCCAGAATGCTGTCAGGACTGAGAATACAATTACTACCACTCAGAATGAGCGTGTGCACACACACATAATTACACACTGACACACGTAACTGAGATGGTACAAAAATGTTCTAACCAATAATTTGGTTAGAACATAACTAGTAAATGATATGTTTACAGTAATTATCCCAGAAAATTGGTCATAATTTTCACTTAAGAAATGGTAGTCAAATGAAAATAATCAAAATTACCATTGTAAAGTTATGAAACATCAGGAGGGGGGTAATAAAAAATGAGAAAAAAGACAAAAACCCATGGCAAACTAATTAATTGAATGCCATAATCTATAAACTTTGAGAGAATTATAGGATCCTTCTCTACACTACCATATAACTAAGTAATTACTAAAATTATGATTTTTAAGACATGAATCTTGAACCCAGTGCATAATCAAATCAATGCCCATTTCAGGTTGTATTTTGAAAATGATATGGTATTATCCCGGGAGGTCAAAAAGACAACTCTCCAGTAGTCTCAGGGAGTGTGTCAGGCTTCAAGGACAGTCACCTTTCCTTGAGTAACACTCACTGCCCACAGCAGTCGATACCAACAGACAAGGCCACAGAGAAGTCACATACACAGTGCTGTAGAAGAGTTTGGAAGAAGCTTCACAAGTGACTACTGCAGGCTTTGGAGAGTGGAGGCTCTGCAGACCTCTGACAGCAGTGCCAGGGCATCTCAGGAGAAATGAGAAACCAGTACAGCGGGCAGGTCTGAGCTAACTGAAAGACTCTGAACTAGACCAAGATGAGCCACCAACTTGCTCTGCTGGAAGGAAAGAGGGTCCCTATGACATCAGTGACCAAGTAATGGGGAGTGCACATAAGCAACAAGAGACAGAGATCAGCACAAGGGCAGTACCCATGGTGGCAGAAACAATAAAAGGAACACAGCAGCCTGCAGGGTGTGACTTGGGGAGGCTTCATAGCTAGGTACAACAGACCAAGGAGTCAGGGGTCCCTAGGATTCAAGTCCAAACAAGTGGCCCACGGTTCATCATAGCATCAGTCTGCAGAGCACCAGCCGGGTCACGTGCGACTCCCTAGCTCCAGTCTCCTCACCTGTAAGTGGAGGTAAAGCTTCCACACACCTAGGTGTGGGTGACTGCACAACTTCAAATGACCTGACAGGATGTTAACAGTGGTGATGTGAAAGGCGAGGCACTCAGCAAGGTGCACAAGGGCAGAGTGCAGGGGGCCACCTGGTAAACTCACTAACAGATGCAAATCTAAGTCTAGACCAGTGGTGGGAACTTACACGTGTTCCACAGCAGGCTGTTTGCATCACTGAAAGCCTGGAAGCTGTCATTACTGTTCTCACAACTAGAGAAAGCTGAAAAGTCAGTTTCAGCTGTCCTTCACTATCCAGTGGGGACTGAATCAAGGGCTGCACTGGGCACCAAGCTCTGAGGATGCTTAAGCATCTGTACCAAAAAGGTACAGTATTCCCAGGTAAACCACAGCATCCTCCGCACATCTCCAAGAGTCCCCAGATCACTCACGATGACTGATGTAATGTAAACACCATGCACACAACTGCCACACCATATGATCTAGGAAATAACAGTAAGAAAGAAGTCTGTACTGTTCAGGGCAGCCACAAATCTGCAATATTCTTATCCAGTTGGTCAGTCTGTGTTTAGAAAAGCTGAGGTTACGCAGGGCCCGCTGTCCTCTCAGAATGAAAGTAACACTGCACTGAGCAACTGCAGCTGCCCCAGCCAGCTGAGAGTGGTACTGCCAACTGCGCAGCTCTGCAGACGCAATCCCAGGAGCTGGTATGCTCACAGAGGATGCAGGGGAATTCCCTAAATGCTCTGTCATACCCAGAGAAGGTGGTGGTGGGGCAAGCTGCTGTGCCTGTCATCCCAGCACCCTGGGGCCTGAGGGAGGAGGTCACAAGCTTGAGCCTGGCCTGGGCAGCTTAGTGAGTTAGCAAAAGCCTGTCTCAAAATAAGTAACGAGAAAGGGCAGGGAATGCAGCTCACTGCAAAGGCCCTAGGTTCAATCCCCAGTGCCACCAAACCAAACCAACAGCATTCAATATGGCCAAAATGAATTCACATACATCAAACTCACTTTAAGTATTAAGTCCAAATTCATCAACTAGTACAGACTGTCACAGTTTTTTAAAAAAACAATAAACAAAAACCAACACCTGATTATTTGCTGTTTATAAGAAAATAACACCAGACTCAGGTAAGTTAAAGGAATAGAAAAAGATACTCCATACTCACACTAATCAAAAGCAGGGGTAGTGTTATGGCTTGTGTCTCCTTGTCCCCCCAAAGCCTCATGCAGTCATGGGCAGACTTCTAGAGTTTGTGACTGACTCATGATCCACTGGGATTACGGGTGCGAGTGCTACACCCAGCCTGGGGCGGATAGCCTCACCACAACTTAAGGGAGACAGACTTGCTCTCTGCGGCTACTGTTGCCACTACTCCTCTCTTTTACTCTGCTGTTTTGTTGTTTTCTGCTGCCATGAACTGCTGCCCTCTGCCATGGGCCAGTCTGCTTTGAGCCAGCTGAGTATGGACTAAAACCTCCACAAACTGCGAGCTAAATAAACCTTTCCTTTCTTCATTGTGGGTGTCGGATACTTTGTTCCAGCAACAGAGAGCACAGACTTCACAAAAAAGAAAACTATCAGGGATACAGAAGAGTATTACACACCAAGAAGACAAATCCAAATGTGTACACCTAACACTGAAATACAACAGGTTAGACCCAGTCATTCTCCAAGGAGAAATGAACGAAGCTGGTACTCATGAGGTGGATGGACTTCAGTAGCTGCTGTCAGCAGTGGACAGCCCCAGAGGTAAGGGGCAAACAAGGATGGATAACCCTGTCACCTCCCCAACTGGAATGGAAGTAGAAGTAGAGCCCAGCAACAGAAGGATGGATGGTGGGAAAGTCCCTGAATACATGGGAGATGAAACCACATGCTTCTAAGTAACAACCAGGTCAAAGAAGTCTTGAGAACGTAAAAAACACTTTAGATGAAAATAAAAATACAATTTAGCAACACCTACAAATGCAACAAAGCAGAGCTAGGGAGAAAGGAGCTTGGGGTACCCCGTTGGGATGGAGGGTCTGCTGCCTGAGATTCCATTTGGGGAAGCTGCAGAGAGAGGCGCAGCCAAGCCCTAAAATATGCAGGAAAAACAATAGAATCACAGCAGAAAAACAATGTAAATCAACAGAGGCTGGTTCCTTGAAAAAGTCAATAAACAGGAAGAAGTAATTCTCAAAGGAAAAATAAATGGCCAATTAAGCCTAAACTGAAGTTCAATGTTTATAAAGTGAAAATACAAAGGAAATATCTTTGCTCAATAACAAAAATCACAGGTTTGTTTGCTTTCTGTTTAATCATACTGTCTTAACAGACAACCAGGAGACTAGTACAAGGTAAAAACTGTCATGCACTTCTGGAGAATTTGCAAGAATTCAACAGCTGTAAAACATGTTTGCATAATCTGACCCAGTAGCCACTTACAAACTTTAAGTACTCTGGGGTCATCACTTCTGCAGGTACCCATGTAGACAGTGCTGACAGGGCCTGGGCTAGTCATCCATTTCTTCCCCTCCCCTACTTTCCTCCCTCTTTCCCTTTCCCTTCCCTGACAGCTGAGGATGACTCTTTAGCCCCTCTCAACCAGACTGGCCTCCCTCTCATTTCCCTGCCTAGCCTCAGTGTAAGGCGGTGGGAGAGAGGGGTTAGTGCTGCTCATCTGCTCCAGCCTGTGGTCAACCTAGTCTTCAGTGGCATGACACTCACTGCATGGGTATTTCTTAATCAGTGCTTGCAAAGATGCAAAACTTAGGTTACACCGGGGAGATACAGGAGATCAAACTGGAACATTTTTGGGTCATAAAGGCACTGTTTAGGGTGCAATTCTGAATAAGGATGCCACCAAAGCAGCTATCGCAGCTGCAGATTTCATAGCCAAGGTGTGGGACACTGTTATGGGAGATGAACTGATGACCTTGGCTCACAAACACATTCACAAGACTTGAATTCACACAGGAAAGCAATTACTTGTTAACTGGGGGATAAGATAAACTGCCATACATATATGACTTAAACAAACCTCAAGCTGAATCTAACTAAAGAAGTCAATGGTCACACTTGTGGTATTAAAAAGGCTCTGTGGTGCAGTGAGAATAAACAGATTCTTTCAGCTGATGATAATAACACTGCTTCCCTTAGGGATCATGCTATGACAGAAATGAAGTCTCTGAACTTCAATATGCCTGTTAGTAGCCTGGAATACATTCCTGAGGGAGATCCTGGTTCGTGCCATGGACAATCTATGCTTTTCAGAGAGCAGTAAATTTGGACCCAATCAAGTCCTTTGAAGCACCTGCAACCATCAATTCTCCATCTCTGCATCCCGAGAAAGAATTTCTTGCTGCAGATGGTGAAGACTTTAAACTTTACAGGTATGATTATAATAGGGGAAAAAAATCAGAACCCTACGAAGGACACTCTGGCCCTATTTACTGTGTGAGACTCAGTCCTGCTAGAACTCTATACCAGTGGTTCTGAAGACAGAACTCCAAGACTGTGGCAGACAGATGTGGGGAGGGAAAACCTGTAGCCTTTGGAAATGTGTGCTTCCAGAAGAAGATAGTGGTAAATAGCAAAAGTCAAAGATGAGTTTTCCAAACACAGCAGAAGAACTAAAAAAAGTTGCTTCAGAACCTTCAGACTCCATCCCTTCCCTATTCATGAAGTTGGAGCCTGAACATCAAGCACGCGCCACATGGTGTGTCACCTGTGGACTAAGGCGCAGGCAGAGAGGAACACCAACTCAGCATTGTTCTCTGCCTGGCGTCGACCACCAGTCAGCAGCGGGGAGTACGTATCCACCTCCACGCTGCAGCTGCAGCCCCGCGGGAACCTGTGGTGCAAGCCCAGCATTAGAGGCGCGGAGAAGCCAGGCTCTTAGAGTAGGACAGCCTCTCGTCTTTCCAATGAATACGAGCAGGCCAATGTCCAAGTTGTGTTATTACATTTAAGACCTTTTCTTTTTCTTTGTGGCTGGCTAAGTCCACCCTGGGGGCAAGGCAGATATGGTATATGGTGCTAGGGATCAAACTGTGGTCCTTGAACACTTGCCTGAGCAGGCACTTTAGACCACTGAGCTATCTGACCAGCCCACAATTAAGATTTCTTACGCTCTGTTATTATAGAGAAGAAAAACATATTTGCCTATTTTTCTGATATTTCCCTTAAAGCAGAATGCCTTTTTCTTTTGCTTTAAAGGAAAGGGAATACATTATAGTGACTAGTTTGATTTTTCTTGCATTATAACTGCTTCTGAATATCCAATTATTTTTAATTGTCTAAAATAAAATGCCCCTAAAATGAAAAATAAGAATTTGGAACGTAAAAAAAATGTGTACAAGTTCTTATGAATAGACATAATCAGAAAATTCAGTGCTAAGAAAATAGTAAATGGGCTATGCTGAACCTCAGAGATTAACAAACTTTTGCTGTAGATACGAGGCTCCTGGTTCGACACACAATCTCTGTGACAAAAACCTTTTCCTCCTTTCTCAACCCTTTGAAAATACAAAAATCATTCTGACCAACTGAGGGCTGGGCTTGGCCTGGAGTCCATGGTATACTGACACAATCTACACCACAGTTGACAGATAACTAACGTATGGGAACCAATAAAAATCAAAGTGTTTAGAACCATTAAATGATCCATCCCTCCTTCAAAACACCAGAGAAATCTGTACACCCACACTCACTGCGGCATAACTCACAGGAGCTGGTACATGATCAGACTAGAGGCAGCAATAGGTGCATGAAAACGGAAACTCAGTGTATGTACAGTGGGGGAGAGGTTCGTCCTCAGGAATAACTAGCAGGAAGATGGACGGAACTGAAGATCAGCATGTTAAACAAAATAAGCCATTAGACTCAGGCAAGCCACATATGTTATTTCTGTTATGTACAATCCAGAGATCAAGAGAAGTTTGATGTGCAAGTGGAAAGGGCCATCAGACGCAGAGAGGATGGGGGTGGTATAAGGGAGGGTAATAAGACTTAGGGATATTATACGCATGCATGAAAATGCCACAGGGAAACCCGATGTTTGTAAAACTAATACACATTCAAGATTGCCTCCAAAGCAAAAAGACAAGAGTAGACCTGGGGCGAAGGGAGCGGGGAGAAGGGGGCTCAAGCAAGGGTGGGCTGGAGCCCTTGCATGTGCACGTCATCTGTAAGAAGGCCCATGTGCTGACATGCCACAGGCAGCCACCAGGGCACATGGGCCTACGTAGAGGGAAAGCGGTGCAGTAGGACCCACAATGCCTTTCCACAGAGCGTCAGGTCTTCCCTGCGCCCTTCTCCCACCACAGCCTCCCCCATCTTGTCCCACACTGGCTTAGCTGCAGGGCAACCCACCACCCTGGCAGCTTTACCTCACCACCTCTCTACTGCTGCCTCCCTGCCCGTTTATTCTTGGCAATTCATGGGGAGACCTCTGGTAGCTTCAATCCCTTTGGCCACTTAGATCCCAGCCACTCATAATCGCATGATTTGGGGCTCCTCTTCAAGACCTTTATGACCACAGAGTGCTATTTGTGTATTCCTTCATACTAGAATATATCCTTGATGAGAACAGAATTTTATTTGATATTATAGTGTCTCTAGCACATACTGGAAGCAAAATATTTGCTGACGTACTGGCAATCAATTAAGCAATGATGTGGTCACAGAATTTAAGAGTTGTCTGAAAGGGACAGGGACAAGGAGACTGTACTCAGTACCGGCTGGTGCTAATAACACCTAATGAACCACAGTCCTTTCCGAGCCCGTAAGTCTACAGCACACAAGCAGACCCAACACGCTGCACCCCAAAAGCAGCTCTCATGCCCTCTACAGCAGTCCAGCGTCCCTGAACTCACAGCATCCGCAGTTTGTGAAGGCTATGGTCATCCTGCTTCAGCCAGGGTCCTTTGTCATATTTGAGGTATTCAATGTCCTCTACCACCTAAGGAAGACAGGATCAATTTATTTATTTATTTATTTTTTCAAAATTTTATTGATAAACAGATAGCAATGAGACAGTTTCAAATCAAATCGGAAGTACAGTTTCAACAAATAATACACTGCATATATTCTTCTTAAGGATCAATTTAAATGGACAGCCCCACTTCAGAAATTTAAATGAGATAACACTACAGGTTATGCGTATCTGGCACACACCAAAGTCCAAGAGAATGTTAAGGCTGCAACCCTGAAGAAAACAGTGGGCTCGAGCACTGAAGGTGCTCGAGAATCGTGAAGGGGTAGAGATCACCTTGTAACCTGGAGAAGAATAGGGTAGGAACAGAATCCAGGAAAAGCTGGCCTTCGGGATGGACAACTTACCACTTCCGAGGCAAGCCGATTCCCAAAGGCAAGGCTGAGCCTCACGAAGTGTGGGATGTGAATACCAGCACATCCCAGAGAAACCGACAGCCTCAGCCTCCGGCTCCAGGTCAGCCTTCCAAAGGCAAACTTCTCATTCTTTCCTAAGACATCTCAGCACAGACCGCTAAGTGTCAAGAATGTGAGCATACTCAGCAAGAAACCTGAGTATCAACAGTCTTTGTTGTGTTATTTTATTAAGATATACCTTTCTAAACATTCTGTCAGGAGGTATAAAAATAAATCACAAACAGGATGGTGAAGGAAATGCGGTATAATTCCCTCAGTCCAAGGAGAACAAGCCACAGTCTCAATGGCAGGAAACAGCAGATGGCTGAAGCAGGCTCCATACAGGAGAACTGCCCCTGCTGGAAGGGCTGGGCCTGCCCTGGCCCCCTGTGGTGAGGTGGCCAAGAGCGCCTGCTGTTCCAGGGACGTCCTCTGTCTGCTCCTACCTGCTGCAAGGCAGCCAGGTCTGCAACCCATGCAAGACCCTAGGATTCCTATGCCTTTTGGTGTTCCATCTGTCTTTAGTAACTTACACTTCATCTGTAATAGGGACCTTCTGTTTTTATGAAATAGATGTTAAGTTGTCCCCACACATTTAAAAAACAGTTCATTTCCCCCTTCACTTTTTATCTTTAAGCAACTGACTTTGCCAACCTTAGACACACATGAGCACACGTAGCCTTGCTTTTGAACTGTTCTGCTCCACCAAGATATTAATTCTTGCACTGATACTACAGTGATTTTATGGCTATATTTTATAGTATGCTTTTTTATTTGGGAAGGCAAAAGTCCTGAATTATACTTTTGCAGAACATACTTGGCTATTATTAAGTATTATTAAGTTTCCTTAAAACCCCACTGAAACTAAGTGGAATTTCACAAATGGTACAGATTTGGGGAAAGCTATCATCTTTAAATAAGTAAATCTTTCCCATTAACTAATCCAGCTTTCAACTTTATCATACATTCAATAAAAACAATGAAACAGATGACCCAAGGCTCTTTGTATCTTTACCGCTTATAATTTTAGAACATAGAAACTTAAATTATTTTTTAAAAAAGAAATTATATAAGAATCTGGGTGTGGCGGCACATCCTTATAATCCCAGCACTCAGGAGGCTGAGGTAGAACTGTCACAGGATCGAGGCCAGCCTGGACTACACACTAAGTTTAAGATCAGCCTCGAGTACGTAGCAAGACCCTGTCTCAAACAAACAAACAAAAAGGCAGCAAAACCACAAAGCCAATAGCAACACGTACTCGCACACATACACACACACACACACACACACACACACACGTACATACATACACACATATACAGGGCTAGGTGATGGCAAGGAGCTGGGCGGATACTACTTCTTGATTATGAAGTGCTGCTGTTCCTAAAATCAGTAGGAATGGCACTGACCACATTTATAAGAACATTATATGTAAATCACAGTGAAGAATATTTATCACCTTGTCAGCCCTTTCCTTACCTTTACTGCATCTCGGATGTCCCTTGCACTGTATATCAAAACCTCACATTTCTCACTGTAAGAAAAAGCAAAGCAAAGCTGAACATAAACCTTTGTAGACTGAAGTTCTTATGAAATAAACAGACCACTGAAGTCTCCTTTAAACACTCAAACTACCTTATCTTTGAGCTGGCATAAGGCTGGGCACGTCCCCAGAGTGTACCTGCCAGGGGTGACGGACTAAGGAGCCGCAGTGTGTATACGCAGGCAGGGAGGACAGCAGGTCTGTTTCCTAGCTTCCCTCCCCTTCCTCCTAGGTGTGACAGGCCATGGCCACCATTGACAGGGGACGACATACAAGGCCACCCAACTGCCACACCTGTGCTCCTCAACTGCAACTCCCATGAGGAAGGACAAGAAAAGCAGTTAGGGCCTCCTGGGACAAGGCATAGAGGACAGCAGGCAGCACACACAGGGACTGAGCTGCTAAAATTCAAGAACTCAGGGACACCCACAAGTTAACCTATTTCAACTGACCTATGCAAAAAGGGTACAGCAACTCAGTTCCCTCTCCTTAGTCCTTGGTCTAGACACTAGCAAAGCCCAGCAAGAGCTCAACGGGAAGGAGCCAGCCGTCCATCTCCAGTGTTGCACTGTTCTCGTAAGTTTGGCCCATTAGGGCAGGAGTTGGCAACCAGGTGATGATCAAACCTCAGGCTTTTGGTCTGTACCACACACCTAAAGGAGCTGCCCTGCCATACCCTCGACCACAGAGGAGCTGCGTGACAGGCCACTGGTGGGAAAGTGCCTGTCATGCTGAGATGTCAGGTTCTCAGTGAGCAGAAGACTTAGAATTATTTGTCAGAAAACACCTTCCAGCCTCCAGAGCCAGACAGTGCAGAAATTCCAGTGGAGCCCTGAGTCATTCCTCAGCCACATTAAAAAAAAAAAAATCAGATTATATCCATTTGTTATGGGTCTTTTAAACCCTGAGTGGCAGTCAAATTTTATAGTTCACTTCTGGAGAAGGTCTTAAGGTCCCAGCTCACCACAGGGCTACATCACAACCCCAGTCTGTGATCCTACAGGCACGGTCACGCTCATCACACAGCCGCCTGTGAGTCCACACTGACGTACATGTCATGCTGCAGGCTTCTGGCAACTGTTCATCTCAATGTGACAAACATCCCACAATCTAAGTGGCTGCCATAAATCTATACAACTTGAACTGCCAGACAAAATTCACTTAAAGTGAATAGACTTGGGGTCCATCTGCCCAAATGCTCAAGGGCTAATCAATCTACAAGAGCACAAGGACCATGGAATGGAATTTAAAAAAAGAAGTTACAACATTCATTTGGGAAAACTAACAAACTAAAACCCCTGCATGAACATTCATTTGCCAGCCTATGAACTGCTGGTTTCCTAGGACACAAACTCTGGAAAGCAATGCTCATGCCTCCCTGCAGAAGAGAAAGTGGCAGTGGTGAGCACAGTCCCTGGTAGGCGTGCAGTGCCCTGCATTGGCCACAGGGCCATCTGCCCTGCAACCCTAAGCACCCAAGCATTTCCTCTTTCAAGATAAATAAAGGCATCACTTTAGACTTTCATTTTATTAACAATACCTCTTTGGGTTCTGGGGAGTAAGCGCAGGATCTCGTGTGCACTTACATGAGTTCTCTACCAGCCCAGCGACAGCCCAGCGACAGCCCAGCTCTGAACCTTTGTTTACAGTGACTATAATGTGCTTCAAACAAGCATAAAGGAAAACCCCCTTTAAAATTTCATTTTGGTTCACCCAATGTACTGGAAAAGAGGATCTGTAAAGTGCTGAGTGTGGGCCTGAGAGCCTGCTGGTGGAAGCAGAAGAAAGAAAGATAATGAAGACAAATACCAAATGAACAACCTTTCTGCGTAGCAGGCTGGGTGCACACGCCTGGCCAGTGCAGCACTGGCTGGCATTTCTCTCAGGTGCATTTGGCATTTGTAGTGGCTGAAGCTGAAGACACAGAGAGCAACCAACCCAAAAACTTGATAGCGTTTACACACAAAAAAAACAAGGCCCATTTCCTCAATGCATGCAAGTCTAAAAATCCAAGGCAAAGACAACATGGGCTCAGAAGCCAGGACACCTAACCCCTATTGTGTGTGACTCTGCCCTAATGAACAAACCATGGCACTGTATAACCAGAAGCCGGCAATGGCTATGAATGGCCCCCATGAACATGGCCCTTTGGGACACTGTCCTCTGCAGGACACTGTGCCAAGCCTTGGAGCTGCAAGAGGCTCCCTGACCTCTGTGACTTGTTGCAACACGTGGGCAACAATACTGAGGAGAGAGACCCGTCCTATTCAAACCTCAGCCGTACACCAATGCCAGCCTATTTTGGACAATATGCTGACACTCATCAAGATCAACACACAAAACCAGGCCAGCACGCTGCAGTGTGCAGCAGCTGGTCTCAGCGTAGCTGGAATCATGAAGGGCCCGTGGAACCATCCTCAGGAACCACCAAGCCCAGGAGGACCCAGCAAAGGCTCCTGAGCGCCACCCAGCATTGCTGCAGCCTGAACTCGACCATCGCAGGTGTGATGCACTAGCACCACAGGGTCTACACACCGCTCTGTTCCACACCGCACTTCCCAGCCACCTTTGTAAACTCACTTGTGGAGGAAGAAGCTGCAGTGTGGGCAGCATGGAGGGTGCCGCCCAGGAGGCTCACACACTGAAGTTCTGTAATACTGAACCTGAGACTTCAGGGGCTAAATGTCAACCCCCATGGAAGAGGAGACAGTAGGAGCTACTTCTGAGTGTGCCCCCACTCAGGCCACAGGGCAAAGTCACAGAATCAGCCTATGGGCAGGCTGAAAACAAACATCTGATTCCAAAGGGAAGACAGAGAGAAGCTCCTACTCAACAACTTCTTTGCAGCCAGATCTGCAGGAGGAATTTTTGCAACAAAACTTCCACAATCAACCATCTCTGCTAATCTCTAAGGCTGTTTACTCACGTAGCTCTTTCTATTGCCCTGGGCACAGATGTGCAAAACTACTTTTGTCAGTATTCCTAGCCTTAACAAAACAGACAGGTTAAAAGCAACCTACAGTTGTCCCTGTCTTTCCTACTGAAGAAAAGAGCTCAACAACACACAAGCACTGATACTAATGGTTAAAAAAAATTTTCAACTTAAAAACAAAACTTACCTCATAAAATTAATACCTCAATTTTACTCACAATTTCACGTTACTTTGACATTTTAAAAGACATAAACAGCAGCTTAACAGAAGTATGAGCTAGGCTACAAAAACCTTCAACAAAAGCATTATTCACACTGTCCAACTGTAAGTGCACTTGAGTGTCAGCAGTCATGACTTCCCTCACACTAACACTCCCAAGGACGACAGATGACAAGCTGGAGCTTAGATGCAAACACAATGCCCTGATGCTTTCAGTAAGAAAAGAGCAGACAAGGAGGTGGGGAAAAGGGTCTGGAAGTGGTGTCTTCATTTAACCAAGAGCATCAAGGTAGAGACTGTCTACTCCTGTGAATTGTCTCTATAGGTCACAGTTATATTTCAAGGCATCTTCCAAGATGAACGTGATTTTGAGTTACTATGTGCAGGCTTAAACCAGACTTCAGTAAAAATACATCAACACTCTAGTAGTAAAACTAGACATAGATTAGAGACTAGGTTCACATTTGGCACCAAGAACCTTGAAGTACATAACAAAACAAAATTGCGAAATATGTAAACCAAAAATCCCCACAAAAATCAAACTGAACGTTCCTATCTTCCTTGTGTACAACACCGCAGCCCTGAGTAAGACAGGAACAACCTATGAGGCCCAGAAGTTATTTACGCTCACCTCATCTCAGGGAGAAAGGTCTTCTTATAGGCATTCTCGATGTCCTGGAGATAGGCAGAGGTGACCTTCATTTCATGTGGCTAAACAGAAGCAGAAAGATCTAACTGGGCAACGTTTAAGCACCCTTTCGCTTTTTACCTGTGCACATGCAAAATGCCAAGACCCTCCAAGGCACTGCTTTCTTCTGAGAAGTTGAGCACTGCAGGGCCTTTGGGGTACAATGCACTTCAACACCAGCTGGAATGAGTCAAAGGACAGTGAGTCCCAGCTGGCCAGGTGAGCTCTGGCCCCACGTTCCTCCATGGGCTCCACAAGGGCAGGACCTGGGAGCAGCCCCCATTGTGAGTCACCTTCTTTCCTATTATACTTGGCCAACTGCAGGCAAAGAATGATCACAGACACGGGGGGACTGGCCTTCCTCTCCTCCCCGCCTGTCCCTGGCTTCTCCTCTCTGCTGCAGCTCTCCTCCCTCCATTCTTCCCCTCAACACCTTGTCCCCTGCTCTAACGCTCACTCCCTTACCATCTAAGCCAAACTCAGAAAATTTAAATCCAATTATGAGTAGCAATCATCAGTATTTAAAACTTCTTATAGCTCCACAACACCAAAGGCTAAGTCACACTGGCGTGTTCTCCTGGTTGACCTTCGCGGCATGAGCCTCTAACTGATGCACAGCACTCCCTCACTTCCTCCTCACTCCAGCTCTCCTGAAGAACATCAGCTCCTGGAGTAAGGAGCCCTCCCAACCCGCCCCACACCCAGCCCTAGGGCCTCAGGGTCCACTGTGGGAGGGAGAGAGACCAAATGTTGCTCACAAAATGATGAAAACATTCCTGAACTGCATTGTAGTGGTAGTTATCACAATTTGGTAAATTGCTAAAAGTCACTGAGTCACCCTTAAACTGGGTGAATTTAATGAGCTATAAATTATAATTCAAAAAAATTACTCAAAACAAACAAAAAGGCCCACTGCCTCTGGTGGGGTGTTTCCTGAGTGCCTGAAATCCCAAGAATGAGTGAGGCAGGACACAGGGACTGTAAGACTCACAAAAGCACGTTTACACTCCGTCATCCAAGGGGACCCGTCCTCAGGGAATCCAAGGAATGGGGAGCTGCTGCATTCCCAACACGGACCAGGGGAGGTGACTGCACATCTCTGTGCTCCCTGCCAGCCGGGTGTGGGAGGCACTCAGTGTTACAAAGGGTGGCAGGGCCCAAGGAAGGGCGAATGCAGGTGGATCACCAAGGGGCTGCAGGGTACTCTAAACACACAAACACCCCAGAAATGTGACCCACAAAGACTAGACAAGATCTTTAGTCCCCTTGTCACACAAGTTCAGAAGTGATTTTAAGGTACTCCCATCAGTTATTCCCAGAGGCTGCCCACGGAGGCAGAATGGAACGGAATAGAAATAAAAGTGGGAATACACACATACTAACACACTATCTCCTTGGGAAAATGTCTCTTGTCTTCACACAGTTGAGTTCTAGCTGTTCACAGTATTCACCTAAGACTTCACTTGGGAGAAAGAATGTTGGATAGCTCAGATTTGATCCTCAGAATTGGTTTTCAACTTTTGTTGACACAATAGTTATCTACAAAACTCAGCTTATGTGCCTTTAGTTTTATCAATTAATATCAGTATTAAAAGGAAAGGTGGAGGGCTGGGGAGATAGCTCAGTGGCATAAGCTTCTGCCTCGCAAGCAGTGTCCTTAGTTTGACCCCCAGTACCCCAAAATAAGTAAATTAAAAGGGGGGGCAGCCAAATAGCTCAGCGGATTAAAGCAGGGGTCCAGTGTTCAATCCCCGGGGCCTACTGTGCCAACCCCGCTCCCACCCTGGGGCACACTGAGCCAGCAATTGAAGCTGGGGGGGGCGCACACGCCTGTAATCCCAGCTCTTGGGAGATTGTAAACAGGCAGATCACTAGGAGTCTGATTTAGTAGTGAGACCCTGAACACCATGTAGACCCTTCCCTAAAAAAATGCAAAAAAAGCAAAGGTGGGAAATTACCTTCACTGGCAAATAAACAGGTCCTTTTAAACTTGTAGTTTATTCTTTTCCCACATAATGGAATGCTCCTCAGTCTGAATTAGTCATCACACTCATGAGCAGACTTGTAAATATGAGCACTGCAAAGGCTTGAAGAGGGACTGCTGCACATCTCCCTTATGCCTGCACCCGAGACAAGGGCTGCTCTCACAGGAAGGCTGCCGTCTGGAAAGGGACACCCTGGCACTCAGGAGCACCTGAGGACAAGGATGCACTGAACAGAACAAGGCCAAAAAGATGCTGTTTCCTCCAGGACAGTTCTGTAGCATAGAACCTGAGCCAACCCTGAGGACCAACAGCATCTGCCAGTCTCCGCCGCCTTGTGTGGTATGGGCAGGCTCTCTGTCAGCACAGCCACCTGCCTACAGAGCAGCATGTGCCACCCTAGCAAGTCTATCCCCCAAAGGACAGGGTGGAAGGACATGAAGAGATCAGTGCATTACTGTTCTCTGTAGGAACTAAATCAGGGAACAGGCCTGGAAGTAGCTGCAAGAAAAGCATCTCGGAAGCTGCTGTCCAGCTGCAGGAAGACAGACCACAGGCGGTCCAGAAGAGAACCACCACCTCGGATGAGCCATGAGGAGTCTGCTCCCTCCTCACAGGAGTGGCTTGCATGAGTGGGGACAACAGTGGGAGCAGGCCGCATTGGGAAAGCAGCTCCTCCTCAGACGCAGTGTCAGGCTGAGCTCTGAGCCTCCAGGCCAACCACTGCCACGCCCTCTGCTTCCCACGATTCCCACCTTCGTGAGGCTACTAGAAACTAGGGCCCTGCATGACTTATAACTGTACAGCCATGTTAAACATAATGAGCACATACAGGAGAATGCTGTATCACCGGACATAACAGCCAACTTACGTCGCCCTTCTCCTGGATTCGCTGCTGGACCTCCGGCACAGGTATATCAATATAGACCACCACATGGGGAGGCAGGTACTCCGGGGCGGTGAGTTTCTTCACCTCATTATAGTGGTCCACACCTGGAATGGAAGACACCACTGGCATCAGACCCAGACAGGCTTCTTACAAGTGCTCCTCCCAGAAGAGAAGGCAAAGCTTTACGCAGTTCTGACCAATGAACCAATCTGCAATCATGAGGTAAAGAGGTGGAGCAGAAGCCTGCGTGGCACAGAGGGCAAAGCCACAAAGCTAGTGCATGCAACAGGGCTGGGGCTCATGGAAGCTCACACCACCAGTGGCGCTGCCCACCACTGTCTGCACAAAGGCCCAGGAAAGTGCTTGCCTCAGAGCAGCTATGACACCAGAATTTGACCTTGAGTTAACAGGACCCTACAGCACAAACCCTGATGAGAAAGGCACCCAGGAAGGCAACTGCCCCTTGTCAAACACTAAACTATGCAAGACATCACTACACCCTCCGCAGATGCCCACTCCCTGGCCCGGTGACAACACAACTTACACTGCTTCCGAATGTAGCCCTGGTTATACATTGCCTCCAGGAAGACAAAATCGCTGTAGATGGAGCGCTCCAAGACCACACCTTGTCCTGTTTAAACACAGGTAAACAAAATTAAAAACCACAGATAAAAAGCACCATAACTAGTAACTTCATCTCAGAAATGGATAAAGTTATCATTTACAGTTCCATTATATATATTCAAAAGACCATACATGTATTCATAAGTGGAAAATCATTTGCAAAAAAATCTTTTTAGTTCTAGTACCATTCTGTTTCCCTCAGTCAGCTACCACAGCCTCCAAGGAAAGGAAAGGCACCACTACTTTTCAATAAGCTGCTTTCCCTCACCATGCCTACCCCAGTCCTGGCCCACCCCAGCCCCATACATTGGTCGGACTCCAGTGTGGTCTAGGACTCCTCCAGTTCACCACAAACAGCCTAGATCCTCCAACCCCCACGCACCTCCCACCCCCTCCCACCTCCCACCCCCCACGCACCTCCCACCTCCATGCACCTCCCATCCATCCTTCCTTCGCTGCCTTCACTCTTGCCCAGCTCCTGTCTCCAAATTGGGCACTGTGCTCAAGCCCCTTGATGGCTGTTCTCCTTCAGCAGACTCCATGATCCCTGTGGTGCTCTCGAGGTTCAAATGTTTCTCCTGTCCTACTTCTCTGACTCCATTTCCACCCACTTCCAGCCTGGTCACAGGGGATCCCATGACACGACTCACTGCCCAGGACACAAGTTCCTTACACTTAGCCTGTTAACCCTGGGCAAGGCTCCTATACCCTTCCATCTTGAAAAGCCAACCCCAGTCCCGTCCCCTCTCTAGAACATCCACCATTCACTCAGTACCTGCAATGACTGCTTCCATGTTCAGCTTTTATCTACCCACTAAAATAAAAGCCACCTCCCAGGTTCCTGGAATGGGCCCAGCACACACTAACAATTCATTAATACTTAATAAATAAGTTAATATAGCATAAAAAAAAACCAGTTTCACTTAATGAGCAAAAGTCTAGTATTTTTAAAGTGCACAGTCGAAGAATCAGGTAAAGAACGCTTCAAAAAGAAACTGGAGTAGCCAGAATGCCAGCATCAAACCCAAGCAAATGCACAAGACCCTGCGGCAGGGGCTGACTGGTACAAAACTCCAACAGGTAGGACACAGACCACACATTTCTCCAGAACAACAAATATGTAATACTCGTGGAAGAAAAAAGAATCACGCAAAAAACGAAGGAGACCTTATAAGGTGCCTGCACGGATGTTCAGCAAAGAGGACAGAAGGCGAGGGAAGGTAGGAGTTCCACTGCCAGTGAACCCCCCAGGGCTAGCTCTCCAACAGCAGGCAAGCATCGCTGTGTGCACATGTGCTGGGGGGGGGGGGCCTCCAATGACACTCTATGGCCTCCAAGCTACATAAAGTGGACACAAACCTGTGATAATCAGCCATCTCGATATCCCACATGCAGGCATTGCTACAGGCTTCGACCTATGACTTCACACAGCATGGTGGCTCTGGGCAGAACGCCCACAGGATTGAAGCAGCCCCTGCCAGGTTCTGACCTCAAGTGTACATGCACAGCCTGTACTGTTGCCCTCTGTCCACCTCTCTTCACTCCCAACTTTGTTTCCAGGCCCTTCCTGTCTTTCTCCCAGGCCCTGAGTGTGACCTGCCCAAAAGCATGGCTCTCATTGTGGCTTCACACACAGGCCCACAGGACCTGTGCATTCTGCCTCTCTCTACGCTGCCACCTTTTCAAGTCCTAACCCCTGTTTGCTTCTCAGGGGACATCCCGCCAAGCTCTCAGCTCTCTGGAACGATCCCAGTCTGTTGTCACTGTGTCTGCAAACACCCTGCACACCCCCTTCACAGTGGGACTCTACTTGTTCCCAGTCCTTTCCATGTCCTCACTTTCCTCCCCTACGTCAACACATTTCACGTATATGCTTAACAAGTGGCATACAAACGCCACATAACCCATACATCTCACTCCAGTATACACAATAAAGGTGTTCATTATTTACAGTCTAAAGCAACAATAACATGGATTCTGAGAACTGTATGATCTTACTGGAAGGAGAGAACAAGCCTTATCAAGAACCCTTACAGAACAGCTCTACTTATGGGTTTCTAATTGAGCTCAGACACAAGACAGGCAGCTGAGCCTATGCTCACCCGTGCTCAGCAGGTGCTCCAGGGCGTCTGCATACTGCACAAGGCGATTGCAGTACAGCCAAGACTGCAGGCGGTAGCTGTTGCCATCATTGCTGTGCGGGTTATCATAAAACTTCTCCAGACTACAACTGCCAGTGAGCTCCTCATCCAAGGGTTTCCCATCTCCTGAGATGCTGGATATGTAATGGACCCCTGCTTCTGGAAAGTGCTTTAGGCCTGAGGAAAGAGTGTCCGAATGAAGCACAAGTGGGGTAGCCACCCGCCACATGCAGCCCGCTCACAGCCATGCCTCAATGAGGATGCGCACTGGAGTGCTGAAGGACCTGGGGCCCTCGTGTCAACTCCTCCTGAGCTGGCAGCATCCGACAAGTGTGGAAGTCCACTGTGCGTGCAGCACCTGCTGTCAAATGCCACAGCAAGGCAGTGACAGACACCCACAGGAGCACTTGGGAGGGGACTCTGCTGGCCAGCTGGGTAACAGCGGCTTGATCCCGTCTGCTGGTTGCCCAAAGGACTGAGGGCAAAGCTCAGTCTGTGTTGGGGTGCTCACAAAACCCACCTACAACACCCCATGGAAATGCCCTGCTTGCAATGACCAGGTCAATTCAAACTGACATCCAGCATGATCCCTCCCCCAAACTGGTACCGTTCCGCATGAGAAAATCCATACCTAAACTCTCTGCTATTGTTTTTGCGACCCTGCCCTTCCCAGTACATAAGTTGCCATCTACAGTTATCACTTTGCTTCCTTTTGTCAGTTTTCTGGACGCCTTGTCACCAAGAAGGTTCGCCAAAGCCCCATATCGCAGCTTGGTCTGTACGCTGGTATGAATTTGTCCCTGCAAGACATCACGCAACACATTCCGGTTACTGGAGGCATTAGGAGATACTAGGTAAAAATTTCAAGAAACCTTCAGTGAATGCAATCATTATGTACTGCAGACATATTCTAGTAAACATGAAAACTTAAAAATAATCTTAGGACAAGCAAGTATAACCTATTTACAAAGAAATAAAGTATGCCAAAAACTGCATAAAAATGTTTAACATAGCTTTAAAAAGCAAAGAGAAACTATTAAGAAGCAAGTATTAGGGCCGCCCAAATAAGTCAGCGGATTAAAGCATCTGCAAGCAGGCGCAGGGGCCGGCCTGGCCTGCCAGCCCCCTCCCCCAGGACACACTGAGCTGGCAATTGAGACTGGACGTGGTGGGGGGTGCCTGCAATCCCAGCTCTTGGGAGGCTGTAAACAGGCAGATCACTAGGAGTCCGATCTAGTAGTGACACCCTGAACACCCTGTAGACCCGTCCCTAAAATACCAAAAAAAAAAAAAGGAGACGCAAACATTTATCAAACTGGTTGTCTTTAAAAGGTGATGCACAGTGGTGTGAAAAGCCCACACGTCTCCTTATATGCTGACATTGGCGATGACAACTAGGCCTGGACCAAGAGCCACCTGGAAGGGAATCTGTGTAAAGACCAACCTCTGGGTGCTCAATAAACTGTGGCTTATAATAGCAACCTTGTAAGTAATAAGCTTCAATGTCCAACAACAGAGCATTAATTTAAAAAATCAACTCTTTACTATGGAATACTTATTATGGAATCAACTCCTTATTAAGCACTCACAAATATGACACGTTTTACTATGGAAAAAATACAGAATAATATAAAATAATAAAATTATTTTTATTCTTGGTCTACTTGACTACTGAAGAAATGAACAGTTTGTAAAAAAAAATGAGAAGCAACAACTGCCTTTAAAAACGGGCTAAAGCTCTAAACAGACCTCAAGAAGATGATGTGCAGATGGCAAATAAGAAAAGAACAGGTGTTCACCACCACTGCCATTTGGAAGTCACTGAGAAACAACAAAGGGATACCTCTACACACTTGTCAGAGTGGCTACAGAGCCAGAGAACCAGCACCACCAGATGCTGACTGGGACGCAGAGCAGCAGGGATGTCCCTGACTGCTGAGGGGAAAGCAAGTGGTAGTCACTAAGCAAGACCCCTGGCCGCTTCTTCTTACAGAGCTACAGCCTTACCACATGATCCAGTAATCACACCATCGATGTAAAATGCATTTCCATAAGGACACCTGCACTCATGCGGTAACAGCCTCATTCACATCATTGCTTCAGCCTAGAACAACTACTTGCCTCCCAGTACCTGAATGGTTAAATGATGGTGTAGCCACACAATGAAGTATTTATTCAAGGGCAAAAGAAATGACAATAAGCTACAAAGAGAGGAGTGAATCTCAAAGGAAATTTCTAAGTGACACAAGCAGTCTGAAGGGCAACATACCATAAAGGTCGAACGTGTGACATTCTAGAAGAGGCAAAATGATTGAAATGGTAGAGCTCAGCAGCTGTCTGGGATTGACAGAATAGAGGAAAGATTTCAACACTAGAATCTTTAGGGCAGTGCAAAACTACTTGGTATGGTACCATAAATGTGGTGACATACCATTACGCCTGTCAAAAATTACCGGGCTTCATGAAGGACTTCAATGTGTGCAAGTGTATAAAAGCCTATTTTGATCAAAAGAGCCCAAGATGAGCGCAGAATGTGACAAAACAATCCAACTATGTTACAAACACACAAAACAACATCACGGAAGAAGTCAGGGGAAAGTGCTTCTTTAATAAGCTACAGAAGCCTTCGACAAAATTTCTACCCTTGATCCCATTCTTATGCTGTCCAGAACCACAGAGAATAAATGATCTTCAGAGACACATTTCCTATTCTCAAACCAAATGTCTACAACCCCTGCTTCACCTCATTTCTCCTCTAAGTCTAATGTACTGCTGCACGTAGGTCTGCACAGTGCCTATGAAGTTAGCGCTCCGCTGGGGCTTTTACTTTCATTTAAATCCCAGGACACAGTATTAAACACATTTTCGCTTTCAAAACTTGGATTATTTCCTAACAAACTCCAGCGAGCTTTAAATAAGACCAATACGCTCTTACGTTCAAAATCACAATCTAGCGTGGAGGCCAAGGACCTTTATAATCCTAACACCACGCAGTTAGTTGCAGCCACTCACTAGCCAGTGTCACAAAAGGGTTTCCTGAATGTTTCCACCCAGGCTTCCCGTGCGCCTCTCCGCATCTGACATTACCTCACTGTCCCTACCATAGGAAGCTATAACCCTGCCTCATCTAAGTCCAGAGTCGCTTCTGTTACTGCTCAACTTCACACCCCCTCAGCACCTAGCAAGCTCTGACCCTTCCTAAACACGCTTGAGAAGGGAGCTGAACTGGGCTCCTCAGCAACCGCCCTAAGCTCAGTGTACACGAACTACTGTGGTCTTCGAACCTGCGG